ATTAGCTAATATATTTTAAATGTACTAAATTGCAACTTCATCATTACAAATGTGTAATTACAAATATATTTAAATACATTACATACAACTTTCAATAATGACATTAAAGTATGTAGTTTACCATAAGTTCTTGCATACATTCGACAGTAAATTTGAACCATATTTCAAAGACAGTAGAATTATGAAATTACATAAATAATAAAAAAGTAGGTCAAATAAGCACTCTTATGTTCAACTAATTACATTGAATATAAGTTGTAACTAATAAAATATAATACATTTTAATTTAATTGTAAATAACATGCAATTAAGAGACTGAATGTATTACATTCAGCAAGTACTCTTTTAAAGTATATTGTTTCTGTAGTAAGTACTCTTTTTAAAAGCATGCTAAAGTGTACATCTTTTTCACAAGGGATCCCTTCTTGTATCTTCTCCGTCATCATCATTGGGAACATTCTGGTACATTCTGGAGGCTGATCTATCAAACCTAAAATGTCTCTTCAAAGAGTTTTATGGACTGGCAGAGTAATGATTAAAACGAGCAAATAAGCCCTTTTGGGGACCCATTGTCCTGTTAACTATCTTGGTCTCACAGCTCATTGTGCTCAAATAGGCCCTCTTGTTTCTCTCATCTCCAATGTTTCACTATCAGATAGAGGAGATGTCCTCTCTTCAGTCCGGTTGTCATGGTCACTGTCTTATTGTTGTGGCAGCTATTTGTGTCTCATGTTGTGTTCAAAGTGATTTGCAATTATTCCACCTTTCAGGGGTTATTAACAGCTCTGAATATCGAGCACATAAAGCAGAGCATTCCTTGAAATATCCAAAGCCCACTGCTCTGTTGTATGAATGAAACAATTGTTAGCTAATGAAATGTTAAAGAAATACAGCTCATGTATTCAATAAAGAGGAATGACCAGGGACTTGAATTATAAGTGTTCTATACTTGAGATTCTTACTCCTATACCTTTTGAAAAACGGATTGTCATGTTGTTGATTTGACCTTGGCCAAATATTATGTTGGTTTCAAGGTGTTCCTCTAATAATTTACACTGTGCGGGTTCAGGGGAAGGATCAATAAATCATCATGTAGTTTTACAGTTCTAAATATAGAGCATTGATTAACCCCTCAAAATCTAAGCATGCCTTGATGTATTGAGTATCTCATTAATGAACTGACAGTTTGGGAACTGAGGTCTGGCATTTGCTAACTAGGTGCTACTAATCAACTGAATCTAAAACCTGCATAATGTTCAGGTGAAGCCATTATGTGTATATGGATTTGTATCTGATCCAATGATAAACTGAACATGCATCCAATCTAAATAAAAGGCCCAATTTTAACTAGATTCCATACTTTTATTTGGCAAGGATGCAAAACATTGTCACTATTACCAACCAAAATATCAAGCAGCACAACTGTTTTCAACAAATTTTTTTTTTTTCAAGAGCTCCAAATCTGCATATTAGAATTTTATCTGAAGGATCATGTGATACTGAAGACTGGAGTCATGGCTCCCTAAATTCAGTTTTGCCATCAAATATATTAAAATAGAAATCAGTTATTTTAAATTCTAAAGCTATTTCACAATATTACTGTTTTTACTGTATTTTTAATCAAATAAATTCAGCCCTGACAAGCATTAGAGACTTCTTTCAAAAACAGACTTTCTGGATGGGGTGAGTTTTAAAGTAGAATATGTATGGGAGTATTTGAGAGTTATTTGAGACATTGAGAGTATAAGCAGTGAATTTATGATTCTGAATGAAGTCAGTTTTCGCTTTTTGGTCAGAGTGAATGATGATTTAGGATTATGGGGCATAGGGTCAGATAGGTTGGTGGTACTGAGGTGAAAACATTAAGACTGACCAATGAGAATATAGAATAGCTGTTTGATTTTCGGTGAAGATGATGTTCTGTGGATGCTTAACATGCTTTACACAATTAGGACATGGATAAACAACCTTGCAGATTATTCTGGCTAAGACACACCTGCAGGCTAGTTTTGTCTAGCCCACATGAACAACAAAGCGCTCATTACAACATCATCAACCCTGTACCTTCCTCAACTTTATTTCCAGATGGACTAGTGCACCGACTATTGAAAATTGCATAGAAGCATAGAATCAGATTGACTTGCCTGTTTTGCAATATGCCTCAGGCGGTCAGTGTATGTATTGTGGGCGGCCCGACTAGGGTAAGAGATTTGATTGATAGGATGTTAATCCCATCAACATGTCTTACTTGTGTAAATCACATTGGGCTCCCATGGACAGTGTGGAGAACAGTGATTCAATATCTACAATCTCTTTCTAGGCCTGTTTTGAAAAATCTAATCATCATAAAACATCTAAAGCTGAAAAATCTGCACCTGCTTTAACACAGACAAGGTTTAAAATGAAAGAATCCACTAAACTTTTATTCATTAGCATAACCTGTGCTTAAAATTCATGACAAAGAATCCCTATGTCCATGCCCTCACCTTTGACTTCCCTGACAATATACACTAACTCAGACTAACCCTTGGTCTTGACCCTCAGCCTTTCAAATCTGAAGCAGCTAAATGAGTGCAGTGCGATTCGGCTAATTACCAAAAACAATAGACTCTGAACTCCCCTTTATTTGCATATGATTATACAATTGTCTGAAGCTGGAGTAATAGCTCAATTAAAGCAAGACAGATAAGACCTCAGTTTCTTGACAAGTTTAACTAATTACAGTTATCTAATTATTGCAGGTTAGCAAAGTGTCCAAATTGTTATTGAACCTGGAATGGCTGTGGTCGATGTCGTTGACAAAATTCTACTTTGAGTCAGCATTTAAGGGTCTTTACATTGGAGGCTTAAATCATCAGTGTAAGGATTACACAGTAATCCTGTGTGAGTAAATACCCAGCCTGATACATAGAGAACGTTATGAATAACTCACTCAGCAAAACTGCGCAACTGTTTTCTAAGAACTCCTAGGATTTCATGTTTTACAGCAAGTGAAATGCCTGTCGGTCTGGTAGCGTTCCACACACAGAATAAAGATTCTCAATTTGTGTGATTTTGTTTCTTTTTTCAGCATGAATTGAACACATAAAAGTGTTATATAATGTAACATGCAGTATATGGTTAAATGCATTGATTTTACAGATTATACAACATATTTATCCTTCACCCCCCAATATATCAGGTTTAAGATCTCTAAGTGCACACATATGGTAGTGTAAATGACCTCTTTACAGATGCTAAGAAATGTAGCTTCTACAAAATGCATTTCCAGTAATGGAGATAAAATGCCGAGCTGCTGGAATCTGCTGAACATTTGCTGTTAAGGCTGGATTTGATATGCCGTACTGCTCTTTAATGACGCTTATTTTTCTCTTCATTTTCTATTTCCACACACACCCCATTTATACTGGCACAATTTAAAACAGCTTTCCTAGATGATCACAGATGTTATAAACCTTCCATACCTCGCGTTCAGAAAATACGTCTTTTAAACTCTGCTTATCTGCTTTAGAAAGGGATATACATATAAGCCTGCTATTATGTTGATGTTTTTCTATTGTTTGTGTAGTGAGCCAATGATACTTTCTTCCCCGTAGCCTTAGGCATAACCCTTGTGCAAACCTTTGTGTATTTTTAGATTTTTATGAAGACATTATTTATTGTGTTTATTAAGCTGTTTTCTCATGGGGACCGTTAGCTGGTCACCACAATTTGTGTGTTAGGTTTAACTATCCTTGTGGGGACTGTTTGGTCCCCACAATGAAAGCAAAATGTGACACTTCATAACCTCGACACGCGCTAGCGGTTTTCATGAATGTATTTTCTTCATCAGGGCTGTTTTCACAAAGCCCTTCTCTCAAACGTACTGGCTTAATGAGCTTTCCTGCTGCTGCCTGACAGTCTACAGGCCAAGTTTTTATTCATTTTCAGCCATTCCTGTGAAATAAACAGGATTTCAACATTATTCAACGCCACTGCTGTCTCTTTCTTCTTCCTAGATGGTAAATTGGAGTGGAAGATCAATCATCTTAACAACAAAAAAGAGTTTCTGTGTTTCACAAGGAAGAAAAATGTGTCATTACGCTCTCATGCAATTTGTAGGATGTGGCTCTATTGCTTTAGTAAACCCACCAGACACTGTATTAACCTTGGGATGAGAAACTGATCTCACCCTTAGTGGAAAGTGCTGTACACTGGTTGAGCTTTTCATAGCCCATATGCAGACTGATTTATCTCGGCGGGCAGAGATTGGGAAAGAATTGGGATCGGATGAACTCCTCTGAGGGAAATGGGGGAAGGATGTCTAAAATGTTACATATTTTACTTTAAAATGACGTCACGGGTTTGTCAGCTAAAGCTGGACTGGCAGGTTGTTAGTCAGACGGAGGAGGAAAGGAGAGAGAGGGAGTGAGGGTGGATAGCGCGCACAGTGGTGATAACACTATCTATCTATCCTAATGACGAACGTCGCTTTCACGTGCTCCACTCATCACGCGCGTCCGTGAAGTGGCGTTTCATCCTTCACTCTTCTTGGTTTCCCCCCCCGCATCTCTAATTTATTTCAGCCCTGAAAAAAAAGATAGCGAGAACTATCGAAGAGCTTCTTCAGCCGATGTAGGACATGGTTTTGCGCCACGGAACTCTCATGTTTTATCGTGCGTTTTTGCCTGCGCTCGGTCTCCTAACAAATGTAGAGAAAGTGCGCGGTGACCGCGAGCGCAGCGCACGGGGGATGTTGACGTTGCCACCTTGCCGCCTGGTTCCCATATCTTCTTGACTTGTTTTCTTTTTCTTTTCCAGTGGAGTATATTCTAGACGAACTTGTGAATGTAAAAGAAGGCGGCTGTTGAGAAGCAACTGAACCGTCCAGCTGCCCACGCTGCCGCTGGGTCGCTCTGCACATCCGTGCGCACTTCTGAGGAGAAAAACAGCGAGCAACTAAAAAAGGGGACAAGACGCGTCCGTGTTTTTCGTGAATATTTCGCCCAATCCTCGTTTGGTGCGCTCTGGAGAGACGTGGAGCTATTTCAAGCTTTCTGTTTCTCGGGATATATAACATTAGAATGCTAGCATTCGTAACATTTGGAGTAAAGTGTCCAACTTGAGGTGACCATTACGCTCGAGAGTCGACGTTTGTTGGAACGCATAAATGGACGAATACCAGGAGGACTGATTCGGAATTGTTGTCTGGAAAAATGTGGCTGAAACGGTGTGTCACACGCAGGTAATAAATATCCCTTTTGAGAACTATCAGCTAAGGGCTGAATGCATTGAACGCCCATTGCCAAAATCCTGTCATCTGTGAAGAGTTTTGTGGCAAGTTGATGCGCGTCATGCTGTTTTCATTTTACTTGTTTAGAATGTGATGTCTTAAACATTACAGCTTTGCGTTGGTAATATTCCCGAGGAAACGTTTTAAGTGATACTGGTTTGTATGAATAACTAGAGGGCTCGTAATTAACAAGATTGCGAGTCGAGTTGAAGTTATTCGCGCAGCGCTCTCTAGGGGTCGCCAAATAACCGCGATGCAATTCCACAGACTTGGACGCGCGCAAATTAGGTCGAGTATCAGCTAAACACACCCTCGCATACCACAGTACACCATGCCAGAACAACATTTTCTGTGCGGTCAAGACATTCATGTCATTTTATGAATCACATCTCTCACTGTTAGAGTGACATTTTGATCATAAGGTTCAGATGGTGTGCTATTTGCCAGTGGAAAGTCAGGTTGAGTCAGAATCAGAAGAGCTGATTTAAGAGCTGGATTTATTTATGGTTAACAGGAGCTCTTAGCACTTACTGTACATATATAGCAAGAGTAGGATTCAATCCAAAATGGGCATGCATGCAACAAATCTTTATTATACATTCTGCATGGACAAAATCAGCCAAATGCTAAGTAATATGCTACGCTCAAGAATTACAACAGCTCATGAGTAAGAGCCATAAAAAGGAAGTGCTTTTCATTGAGATGTTCATTACTATAGTCTCTAGTTAGGACACAAAGCAACTTACAAATTTGGTTATTCAAAGTGGCAGAATATGACAGTTGTCCTTGCCATTACATCTATTTAGCAGCTGTTCCAGAGGCATAATGTGGAGAGCATGTTTAAGATGGGAATGATGATGGAGCCAGGCGAGCATCATTGTTCATTCTTTACCTGATGTAGGATGCTGCAATATCTTGCATTCACAGGTTGTCCAGAAGGTGGTCTCTTACCAAAGTCACATACGTTAAAGTGCATATTTTACGTATTATATTCTTGATGTTCTATTTAGATGTGCTCTTTCCTTATAGAGCAATGTCATACTGTCCAGTGGCTGGTTGAGACTAGTCTTACAAGTTAGTCTAAGTCAAGTTAGTCATCTAATTTTTTCCTTTAGGACTGGACATGTCTTTTATATGTCAGTTACTTAAAACATAGATTGGTCTAATTTCAATCAGAAAAGAAAGACTGATTACCCCTCGACTAATTGCTAGCTGGTCAGACTAGTAAGACACAGTCTTAAAGTAATGGCCATGCAACTGGCCTCAGACTGGTCTTTCCAACTATATGCAACGGAATACAGCCTGGTTAGTTTGGCTTACTCTGGAAAATCCTTCTCGTTTTATGTTCTAAGACAGAAATGTAACTCAGAAACTCTGGAATCTGGAAGTTTTAGTGGCCTTTCTCTGTGCTGCTTTGATTTAAAGCATCAATAAGAATGGATGATGTAGAATTCACTACGGTAAGAGAATAGCAAAGAAGACAATCTCGAGGATCTGGAACAAAAGAGTCTGTACCTAAGTTTGACCAATGCCTATTGGAGTTTAGCAATGTGTTAGATAAGGAGATAATTAAGTATGAAATTGCTATCTATATTCTTTTTTAGTTTTATAGTACACAGTGGCAATAAGGCACATGCTTTGTTGCACTCCAGCAAGGTCTAAGGTGGATTAGCTGCCAAGTTATGAGACAGCGGGGAATCTCCCTTTAGCAGTTTGGAAAATTCCTCACTATTCCGAGTAGGCTGAATAGCCTTGATGAAGATCGTTAGCAGCATCTCTTAATTGCTCCATCGACTACTTTAATATCTTCACATCAAGGTTATGCATCCTCTCACGGCTCCGACATTCTCTCGAGAGCCTTGATTCTCCAGTGTACCTTGCAGGATTATGCTGATGCGCTCATATTAAGACAGCCTGGCAAATGGGTCCTCATATGCCACAGACTGGGCATGTATCTCAGTGTCCAGTTCACTGACCTGGAAGCCGTTAGGAGAGTAAACAGTGATATGGGAATGTGGGGAATATCAGCCCGTGTGCTGACCTGAACAGCAGCTGGTTCATTACGGGCTCTGTCACTGGAAAGAATTAGTTTGTTTTTGCTTTGACACAAGCCGTTGGGTAAATTTTATTTTTTTAAATGTTTAAACGACTTAATTTGATCATATTTTTACATTTTCTTCTTCTCCCTGTCAGATGAGGTTCTCTAAGTGCACACTGTACAGCCATCAATGTCTTAAATGGCAGCACACAACTATCTCATTACCATGTACACTGTAGCGTGTAATAGCATGACACTTCTGTCATTTTTATACCACTTTTTTCTTCCTGGATGTAAGCTCACTCACTCTCTCACACAGTAATGCATGCCTGGTTAATGCAAAGAGAGCTTCTGCTATCCATTTGACACTCTTGATGGTCTGATATAATGGCAGGATGATTTGAATGCACCCACTCCCACTTAAACTGTTATGTAACAACGTCTTCAAGGGTTCAATAAGCCAGAAACAACTCCATACCACAGTTAATGGTGCAAATAACAGTAAAGCTGATGTACCTTAATCAGGAGAGTTTTTAAAGGCCAGAAAAATTTGAATCTGAACAAAAAAATTCTATGATTTCACTCAGGAATATAGTAATTCTAGGGTTTTGACTACTTCAAAGGCATAAATAAAATTGAGATGCCGTGTTTAAAAAGTAGAGCTTGACAAATTCTGGTTATGTAACTTTTGCCTTTTCACAGGGGGAATTGTCGGTATAAGCCGTATAAGCGTATAAGCGACAATTGTCGGTATGTACATTCAGAGAGGTTCTTCAAAGCCTTGATCGGAGTCAAGTAAAATATTATATAGCATCCTGACAGATTGACCAAGTTATAAAGCAGATATATTTAACATACAGACTCTTGAGATGCACACACTCTTTAAAAAAAAGGTTCTTTATTGGCATCTAATAAATGCTGCCCTGCATTACATTTGTTGAATGAAATCCAGTATTTTTTCTTATTAATTTTGGGTTGCTGATTCCAAAAATGTCACACTTTCTCACAAAAAATGTGCTTTTCACAGCATTTTTTTGTGCTTTTGACAACCATTTGTAAGGTGAAGAAGCCTTAATCTTAAGAAAAACTACCACAAAGACATGATTCCTATGTTCCTCTGAGCCAGGTTACAACTATTTGTTCAATTCTCCGCTGATTTTCACATGTATGAATGATTCTGAAGACATTATTTTATGCCTAATCCTTATGTCAAGGTTAGAATTATGGCCAGTGAAAGAACAATATGCAAACATGCTTATTTATTTATAAACTTGTGTTTATGTAAAGTTCTTTGGTATTAAATGAAGTTTAAAAATTTTATCCTTTGAAGATTGTAAGTTAAATTATACATTTTGAATACTTATTTTTTGTAATTAAAACCAAAAGATTTTTTGACATTTGACTGCTTTTGTTATTTTGATGAGTGCATTTAAAAAATGTAATAAAAAAAAATCAGTCACACTTTATTTTAAGGTCCAATTTTCACTATTAACTAACTATTAACTACAACTTTAGCCTCAATAAACTCATAATTTGCTGCTTATTAATAGTTATTAAGGTAGATGTTAAGTTTAGGTATGGGGTAGGATTAAGGGTATAAAATATGGGCATGCAGAATAATGCATTAATATGTGCTTTGTAAGTACTAAAATATGCTAGGTAATAGTTAGAATTGGTCCTTAAAATAAAGTGTTTACCAGATAATCATTTTTATCTGTCAAAAAAATCTGATGAAAAGTGTGATTTGAAAGTCATTTGAAAACTTTTGATATTTTTAAAATCAGCATAATCCAGTTACGTAATATAAGGCCTTTTTGCAAATCAGCAGAATTGTATTTTTCAAGATGCATGATTGTGCAATTCCCTGAAGAACCTTTCATATCCATAAAACCTTTCCATTTCACAAAATGTTCTTTATAGTGGAAAAGGCTTTTCAGATTCTTAAAATGTTCTTTACACTAAGCAAAAATTATGCTTTCTGTTCACTGAGAGGTTCTTTGTGGAAGCCAAAATGGTTGTTCTACGAAATCACTGCATAAACCCCTTTTTTGAACATTTATTTTTAAGAGTACAAAGTCAGTGTTGTCACCATGGCAGCCGAGTGCCCTGTACCCTCAGCACGGCCTATCTAACAGGGCAGGAGGGGCACACCTGAACCACCCACACACACACACACACACACACACACACACTCATGTAGCGCCTTTGTTCAATCAATACCGCTTCTATAAAGCCTCAAATTTATCCGTCATGGCACAAGACCAACAGTGCCTGCTAGCCCTCCACGGCCATGTATTTCTCCCTCTCCTATTTTTCCACACACATCTTGAAAATGAACAGTAAACACTTTTATATGAGTTTAAAAGGACTCTGAGGATTTCTTCAAACACCCAGGACATCTAGGTTTGGCCTGAGAGGAAGCCTCTAACTAATGAAACTACACATTTAGTAATGAAAAAGCATATGGTTTCCGTTGTTTAAGCTTGCATGTACTGTATGCGCTCAGGTTTTATTGAGCCTGTGGGTCGTGTACACAGTTGTGCTGAGGGATTTTAGTAATGGGTCTTTAAATGCCTGTGGCTGTTGAGGCTCTTTTATCTGGAAACTTTTAGTTTGGAAGATCCCTGCAGTACAGATGCAATGTAGATCTTTTCATCCATAATAACAGCTGATCCTCTCCTCCAAGCAATGTACTGAATTAGACACAGGATAGAAAGTCGGTTGGTGTGTGTGTTTGCGCATTTTTGTTGTTGTTTACTGAGTTAAAGAGCCACTTGTCTGTACTTACTTGACCTACTATAACACACACACACACACACACACACACACACACACACACACACGTGTATAAGTCAACCAGCGTTGGACACAGTCTGTTATTGTACATTACAAAAAGTAGGCAGTTTAAACCAGT